AACATAAATTACTTACTCTACAATCTAGCCCCAAAAGTGATACTTATTTCATAACTTCCATTACTAGTGTATTCCACAAATTATTTGCCATTACTCTCACAAAATAACGTACAGGCTCATAAAAATGTAAATAGGATGCAACTATATTATAGATAAATTATATTTGTTTGGGGGTATTATACAGGCTGTATTGCCCTATGTAAGCTTTTTAGAAATTATGTTGGACACAATTTCCTAAAAAAGTGTATTCAACTTTTTATATATATCTTTTACATATACACTGTGCACAGAAGTGTTGTTATGTTTTGCATTGGCTCTGAGTTCGCTATCCACTTTTTATCTGTTTTCTGTTTATGTATTTTGTGAAATTGTGTGTTTGGTTTCACAGTGGTTTTAGCAGCACTACTGAATTGGCACCACATTATACCACTAAAATTTTCTCTTGTGTATATGTCCTAAATTGTTTATGACTTTTAAACTGCTAATTCCTGAGACACAGTTCTTAAACAATAATGAAGAAATGTATTTATATCTCTAAATGGTAAAAAAAACAAAAAAAAAAACAACCTCTATATTGTATGAAATTATTTCCATTTAGTTTGGTTGAAGTAGCAGATTCATTCCTTATATGTCAATAGATTGCATGCTTTGCAAAGTCACCTATATTTTTCTAAAATGTAATTAAAAATAATTTAATCTAAAAATGTAGCTGGCATTTCACACTGCAACAATATGAAATTTTTTTTTTCCATGTAATAATCACCAGATATATTACTGATTTACTAATGATATCATGACTGCAGATTTGAGCTCTTTAAGGCATCATTAAGTTTGTGTTAATGCAGCAGTTAATTAAAAGGTATGCATTTGTGGCGAACAGCAAATGTGGAGAAACCATTTGTCTTTGATAATTAGATCAACTTGAACAGAAAGGGAATGCTACATCATTATTGGACCTATACTGGGCTATGATACTTTACATACTCTCTCTTAATAATAAGTTAATGAAATTGTAAATTTAAGAACTGGATCTGTTTTGTAGAAATATGCTTCAGCATATCTGGGCATTCTAATCCGTGATTGAAGTATGTCATAGAATTGCACAGGTTGTAGTATGTCGGTTCTTCTGAAGCACTTACATTTGGAAAGGCAGATTTTAAATCATGTCTCATGTTCATTTTGGCTAAACTCAATAACAGTAATTGTTTAGAAAGCTATTTGGACAGCCATAAAAGCAGGAAACATGTAGACTACGACTTTATTGACATGCAAAAATAGGTACAAAGTTGCCTAACGTAATGGTTACGCAATGTCAGTTGTTTATGCAAAGTCAATTTAAAATGTACATACCGTATATACTCGAGTATAAGCCGAGTTTTTCGGCACATTTCTTGTGCTGAAAAACCCCAACTCGGCTTATACTCGAGTCAGTCTGTATTATGGCAATTTAAATTGCCATAATACAGACCAGGACTGCCGGGCTCATTACAAGCCCGGCGGTCCTGTTGGGGGCTCGCAGTGAGGTCTTACTTACCTTCCTGCAGCTCCTGTCAGCTCCCTTCTCCTCCATGCAGCTCCTCGGTCAGCTCTGTTCTGCTCCCAGTGTAAATCTCGCAAGAGTATTACTCTGCTCCATTACTTTGTGTTTCTATTGCCTCTTTGAGGTTGTTTCTGAATTATATTTTTATATACTTTGCTGTATGTGCTTTCTGTGCTCCTATACTATGTGCAGCTGTGTTTTTTCTATGTTATTTCATAGATAATATATAGATTTAAAGTTATACTTATTTCTTAACCTTTAGCTGTGATTTATATCACTTGTAATTTATAGTTTTATAGGCATTTCATCCTTTGTTTTGATAGTATTATATTTACTTTATATATATATATATATATATATAAAAATATATATTATAGATGTCATATGTATTTTATAACATGGATTTCATAGATGTCAGGTGTAAACTTTATTATTGATTTAATGGTTTTATGTATTGTTATGAAAGGTGTACTTTATTCCATATGTATCACAACTTTTCTGGCAATTTTCCTGGCCTTCTATACTTGGGGCATCAGGGGACCCTCTTTCCCTGCTTTCCCTGCTTTCCCCCTTCTCCCCACGGTCTCATGTGTCTGAGCTCCTTCCCCCTGCGGCTCCCGCCGGCTCCCACTGGCTCCTGGGCATTAACCCCTTCCTCTGGCCTATCTGTTCATCCCCTTCTCCTATTCCATCTCTCAGGCTGCCCCCATACCGTTCACCCGATAATGTGTTGGATGCTTTCCAACATCCATTACCTTGGTGCAGTGCAGTCTGTGGGGCGACCACGAGGTAGATCGAGTATGGCGCGGTGGCCAAATTTGATCCCGCGTCTTCCGAGACTCCAGGGACCATGTCCCCCCCCCCATTACCCTCGGCGGCCATCTTTAGTCTCGCAAGACTATGGGCAGCCATCTTACTACTGGCGCTCAGCTACATATACCTGGACTTTTAGCTAGCCCAGCTGCTCTCATGGCTCACGATGCTCTGACATGAACGTTACACCCCAGGGTCCCAAGTTCGAATCCAGGCAAAGGTATGTATTCTAACTGGCCTGTAATTTTCAGATTTGAGTCGCACTCATGTATAGTGGTTCGAGGTACCGGAACCTTAAAGGGATATCACCTCAAAAATTCCTTAAAGGGATAGCACCCTCAAATTCCTTAACTGCGGAACTACTGAAGTATCCCTTAACTAGCAAGATGTTACTGTATAAGTACATATCAGTGATTGTAAATTTGAAGGGATGTCACCTGGTTCAGGAATCTACAGCAAGACTCTATGTCAGGTAATGGATGGTCAAAGGGACGACCCCTGTAACGGACCGTTTTGCACACAAGGGGTAAAAACCGTTTAGGCGATCGGCCCCCTTTCCAGAGATCCAGGCACAGCTACTGCAGAACACCAAAACTCACGAACTGGATACAAAATAGCACTCCAACTCCCGAACTGGAACCTCCCAAATAGCTGCTAGCAGACGAACAGGAAAAGCAGACGAACAGCTTACACTCCTGGCAATCAGTCTCTAACAGCATACAGTGAATCCCCCCAAGAACGAGACAAGGCTCCGTGTTGAGGGTCAAGCAGTGGTCTGAGGTGCTGGCACACCCAGCCTGGTTTTTATTACAGTCTTGCAAATACAGGACCGCCCACAGGGAGGTATAAAACAACCAATCACATCACAGTTACATCCCACATATTCCCTCCCCTTATCCTGAGAGGAAACTCAATTATACATACAGTTAAAACATACTTTCTACCCAACTTTCATAACTCTAAAACCATACATCACATTCACATAAAATTACATATGCACAATCAATCCATTCAGGGGAACAACATATTCAAAAATGGCACAAATCAGACAAGGGGTTCAAAAGTTAGTAAAAAGTCCTTTGTGACTAAATGAAGCATGGCTTTCTGGCCCAAACCAGTTTCAGAGTCTTCTATCCTGGAGATAAGTAATTCAATTATCTCCCAGGACAGACACAAGACTCCATTAAGCACATGGTTGCAAAAAGACACAAAACACTTTAAAATACATAAAGTCACATTTATACATAAAACACAGACATTTCACATATCCCCAGATAGCTCAGGTCTGAGCGCACATTATTAAGTGAATGGCGCTCAGACCACACGAATACAGTTTAATCGCCATGGAGCCAAAGTCTTTACAGTCAGTTTCATACGAATGGGCTCCATGGGATTTCTATCTGGGGTATAACACATTCAAACAAATCTACCGAACCCGAGGCAGAAAAGCACGAATGAAGCTTTTCTGCAGGTAAAAAATATGTCTTTTAACAGGGGGCCATAGTCCAGAGGCAGCAGGCGAGCAACCAGGCTTCTCCAATGCAATGTGGCGAGATTGGTCTCGTCACATCTCTTCCCTTTTCCAAACAGACTAACAGGGTATCTGACCTCCTGCCGGTCAGTGCCCTTGTTAGTCCAGCAGCCCACCCACAAAACATAATCAACAGCACAGCCCACACACAATAAATGGTTACTACACCTGGGTAAAGGAGAAGCTTGTCCATGTCCAGGTGCCTCACCACGGCTGTGCTGGGTACGGGTACGCTGACTGGGTGGGTTGCTGCGTGGGCAGAGACCAGCGGCACTCTGCCCTGTTGCCAGCGCTACTGGGAGGGTAGCCTGGTGGAAGCCTGGTTGTTGGAGGGGGAGACCGACTGTCTCCCCTTTAAATACACCGCTCTGCTGCTGCTGCTGGAGACCGACCGTCTCCC